GTAAATGGTCCAAGTCGAACGAAAATGTCATAAGCTCCTCTCTCCTATATCTGGGCTATTTGTGTGTTATTCTGGTAATGTTCCTTGGGTTCTCTTGAAAGTTTACTTTAATAACATGTGCCTTTTACAATAAAATACCTGAATTTCATTCAATGAGGTCTGCCTTTTCTGACTGGCAAGCAGCAATAGCTTCTCTGCTTCCACATGCTGTGGTGTTCCTTGTTGTTCAGGACGTTGAAGTACAACTGTAACAGCATTGGATGCCTGAGCAATTACCCGCTGCTGCTCAGATACCTGTAACCAAAGTTAGGAAAAGAATTGTCAAGCTCTGATATACAAAGTATGCATGTAAATGGAGAAACTAAAACATCAAGCATCCTTCAACTGGCACATTACAATTTCTACTATGATCATACCTCCTCCTGCAATTCTTTGATGCGAGCACTGACGGTGACTGAAGGGCTTACAGGCTCAGGAGTTGGTGATCGCAAATCTGGTCGGCGAACAATCTGACGTACTGGAGTGTAGGTTACTTCCTGTTGGTAGGAACGTACTACTCAGTCTTTTCACTGATAAGCAAGCAAAATTTATGAATAACACTTAGGACAGCAGTTGTTATATTTATACATCTTCATTCCCTTTCCCTCCCAAGGAAACTACATTACCTAACTTATAAATTTAACATGTTCAATATTCTCAAACTATTTTATGTGATGCACTATCAAAGAGGGTGGCAGCATGTATGTTCAGATTAAACCACTTTCCTCTTTTTCATTTGTTTCCCTACTTCTGCATTTCACCCCAGCATTTTCAATACATGCTAGTATCAAAAGTTAAATTTCCATGAGATCAATTTTTTTTTATTGTGCTCTAGTTTGATGCCTAACATTTGGCAAGCCTTCTATGTTTCAGCATTGTACTTTTATTTTCAACATTGGCCATCTCACACCAAGGCAGACTTACCAAACCAAAAAGCATTAACCATCACTTATTCAAGTTCTCTTGTCAGAAGTGAGTTTACATCACAGTTCACATGACCCTCCAAACTGCAATCTCACCATTCCTTCAGAATGGAGACATTAAACTTCCCACCTCCAGGACTAAGTCCAGCTAACCAATTTCCTTAATTTCCTACATACACCTTTACTGAAATATTCAAATTCATAATACATTATACTACATTTTTAAGCATCTTAATCACTAACAAAGGATAAAATCTGAATTGCTACAAAGTTTAAAATCTTACCGGCTTTTGCTTGCGATACAGAGAGATGCTATGGGTAAGTGTTTCATGGTCTTCTTGATGTGTTGGAGAGTTTTGGTTGAGTTTTGGAGTCTTGTAGGCATTTAGCGGCTATGTTGGACAGACCAATATTTATAAATTTTAAGTAAAATATCATGCATTATTATCTACAAAGTACAATACACGATTACATTCGTGGGAAAGTGTTTAACCATTAGGAAATAAATGTAGCACCTAGGGAATGAACAATTTTAATCCAAGGAAGGTATGAGTAGCTCCAATTTCTTGGATCAAAAGTTGTCCATCCTCAAAGCATTCCCTTAAAGTGACCAACAGCATGTATACAAGAAACAGTTACATTAAACTTTACAAAGCAAAAATTTTTACAAAGTACACCTACCATCCGACTTATGACCTGCTCGACTTACGACCACTCGACTTACGACTGTTTTTTATGCCAAATTTCTGGGAAATAAACAACTATTTGTGTTGTACACTGTTTATCCTAAACCTTACAGTGTAAAATACAGTACTAACAGCATAAAAAGTAAAGTAAAACATGAAATACCAAAATAAAACAATAAAATAGTCATTACAAAAATGTGATGTTGATATTCAGTAGTAAAGTTTGACTTACGTCCACATTTTGACTTACTACCAGTTTCTCGGAACCGAACTCGGTCGTAAGTCGGATGGTAGGTGTACAATATAAGGACAGTATTTGTATGGCACCTATAATGTATATTCCACACTTTTTTTTAATGCAGTTCACCAAACACTAACAATCTCTAATTTTCCTTAATTGCAGCAACATAAAAGATTTTAATAAATTAAGTAAAAGATTGAGACTGAACACATCGACTCCAGGCTGAGGGACTGATTACCTCATACTCCTCCTCCTCTCCTTACGCCTTCCTCTTTGTATTGGACTGATGAAGCCACTGTGTGGCGAAACGTTTCCTGAATAAAGATTCCCATATGCTGCATAAGTGTCTCAATCTTCAACTTGTTGGTTTTTCAAACCATTCATCACAATAAATTAACACTACAAGTAAAAAGTAGACTTAAAATTTTTTAAGAACTAGCAGTTAAACTTACGGAGTCATCCTGAGAACGGATTCTCTTTGGTGGTGTTGGTTCCTCATCCAAGGCCTCATCAATGGCATCATCTATTGCACCAAGAGCATCCATTGTGCTTTCCGACATACCGTAGACCTAAAAATCAGAAAATTTTATATATAAAAAATCAAGTGTCACCTACTGAGCTTTACCCCTCATCCATTAAGAGGCACTTTGTAAACCTACCGAGCACTACTGCTTATCCATTGAGGCAGTCTGCAAGCCTACTGAGCTCCAACCCCTTATCCATTAAGAAGCAGTCTGAATCAACTATGAGAATATACAAGCAGAGAATGAAGGTTAGTGTTAAATATAATTGGTCAATACTATTCTTCAAATTAAATTTCTGGACCCTACTTTTCTATAATGCTCGAGACCACAGCCATCCCAGGTAATGTTCGGTGAACCAGCCCTATGACCTACATCTAAACTTAATGATAGAGGTAAGCATTTGCATGTGCAAATGCTTACCTCTATCATTACGTTGTAAAATGGTCTTATCTACAGAACACCCATAAAATTACCTGACCACCCAATGTTCTTACTGGACTATCATTTCTCCAGTTCTCTTATCTGATAATGGTTCAAAATTTTCAGTTTTCATGTCAAATTTGTGGGCTCAGTGAATGTGAAACCTCATTAAATCTTGTACATTTTTTTGCATAATGTCTCAGAAATGCATATTGTACTGTAACAGTATTTAGTAAAGGAAAAAAGGATTCAGTTTACCATATCTATGCTTACATCAGAATTAGAAGCTTCAGTATTTTCTGCTATCATTGACAAGGGTTTATCCATGGCGGTGGAAGCTGCGTGCTGAATTTTCTGTCCTAGGCTTTCTATTGATGCAAAAGTCAATACACTCTCTGAAAAACTGGAAGAATTATAAAATTAGTGTACCAACACAGAAATGTAAAATAAAAATTAAGCTTTTAAGAGAATTCGTTGTATTAATGAAACAATGTGAAGATTGAGACACTTATGCAACTTTTTTTTTTTTTTTCAACAACCAAGGCAGGATGACCAAAAAATAAAGAAAAATCCCCAAAAAGAAAATACTTTCATCATTCAACACTTTCACCTCACTCACACATTATCACTGTTTTTGCAGAGGTGCACAGAATACAACAGTTTAGAAGTATATACGTATAAAAATACACAATATATCCCTCCAAACTGCCAATATCTCAAACCCCTCCTTTAGAGTGCAGGCATTGTACTTCCCATTTCCAAGACTAAAGTCCAGTTATATAAAATAACCGGTTTCCCTGAATCCCTTCACTAAATATTACCCTGCTCACACTACAACAGCTCGTCAGGTCCCCAATACCATTTGTCTCCATTCACTCCTATCTAACACGCTCACACACGCTTGCTGGAAGTCCAAACCCCTCGCCCATAACACCTCTTTTATTCCCTCCCTCCAACCTTTTCGAGGACCCCTACCCCGCCTTCCTTTCCCTACAGATTTATACGCTCTCCATGTCATTTTACTTTGATCCATTCTCTCTAAATGACCAAACCACCTCAACAAACCCTCTTCAGCCCTCTGACTAATACTTTTATTAACACCACACTTTCTCCTAATTTCCACACTCTGAATTTTCTGCATAATATTTACACCACACATTGCCCTTAGACAGGACATCTCCACTTCCTCCAACTGCCTCCTCGTTACAGCATTTACAACCCAAGCTTCACACCCATATAAGAGTGTTGGTACTACTATACTTTCATACATTCCCTTCTTTGCCTCCATAGATAAAATTTTTTGCCTCCACATATACCTCAATGCACCACTCACCTTTTTTTCCTTCATCAATTCTATGATTAACCTCTTTCTTTCATAAATCCATCCACTGACATGTCAACTCCCAAATATCTGAAAACATTCACTTCTTCCATACTACTCCTCCCCAATTTGATATTCAATTTTTCTTTATCTAAATCATTTGATACTCTATGTTCACTTTCAACTTTCTACCTTTACACCCACTCCCAAATTCGTCCACTAACCTTTGCAATTTTTCTTTAGAATCTCCCATAAACACAGTATCATCAGCAAAAAGTAACTCACTTCCCATTTTGTATTTAATTCCCCATAATTTAATCCCATCCCTCTCCTGAACACCCTAATATTTACTTCTTTTACAACCCCATCTATAAATATATTAAACAACCATGGTGACATTACACATCCCTGTCTAAGACCTACTTTTACCGGGAAATAGTCTCCCTCTCTTCTACACACCCTAACCTGAGCCTCACTATCCTCATAAAAACTCTTTACAGCATTTAGTAACTTACCACCTATTCCATATACTTGCAACATCTGCCACATTGCTTCCCTATCCACTATCACATGCCTTTTCTAAACCCATAAATGCAATAAAAACTTCCCTACCTTTATCAATGCTTCATTGTAAACACTATCTACACATACTCTACCCACTCAAAAACCTCCTTGCTCATCTGTAATTCTACATTCTGTCTTACCTCTAATTCTTTCAATAATAACCCTACCATACACTTTTCCTGGTATACTCAGTAAACTTATTCCTCTATATTTTTTACAATCTCTTTTGTCCCCCTTCCCTTTATATAAAGGGACTAAACACGCTCTCCGCCAATCCCTAGGTACCTTCCCCTCTTGCATGCATTTATTAAACAAAAATACCAACCATTCCAACACTATGTCCCCCCCTGCTTTTAACATTTCTGTCATGATCCCATCATTTCCAGCTGCTTTACCTCTTTTCATTTTACGTAATGCCTCACGCACCTCCCCCACACTCACATCCTGCTCTTCTTCACTCCTAAAAGATGGTATACCTCCCTGGCCAGTGCATGAAATTACCGCCTCCCTTTCTTCGTCAACATTTAAAAGTTCCTCAAAATATTCTCGCCATCTACCCAAAACCTCCATCTCCCCATCTACTTACTCCCCTACTGTTTTTTACTGACAAATCCATTTGTTTCCTAGGCTTTCTTAACTTGCTTAACTCACTCCAAAATTTGTTCTTATTTTCATTAAAATTTCTTGACAGTACCTCTCTCACTCTACCATCTGCTCTCCTTTTGCACTCTCTCACCACTCTTTTACTCTCCATATACTCTGCTCTTCTTATGCAATATATGGGAATCTGTATTATAGAAACATTTTGCCACACAGTGGCTTTAGCAGTCCAATACATAGCAGAAAGATGTAAGGAGAGGAGGAGTTTGAGGTAATCAGTCCCACAGCCTGGAATCAATGTATTCAGTCCATCAATCTTTTAGATTGATGGACTGAATATACATCAAACCTCAAACTACTCCTCTCCTTATACCTTTCTGCTTCCAGCACTCATACCTGGCTAACTGGCTTCCCAGAATACCTTTCATAAAAGTTACCCTACTCGCACTCATTGTCTATTAGAAACCACTTGACTACATGCACTCCTATCCAACGTGCACACGCTGATTGCTTGAATCTCTCTAACTCGGCCTCTTGTATTTTCATTTAACCATTCTTGGGATGACCCTTTCCCGTCTCCCTTCCACCACAGATTTCTTGTCACCCTTTTCATCCACCTGTCTCCCTCAATCTTCACCCAACATGCCCGAAACCACTTTAACAGCTCCTCCTTAGCCCTCTGAATTATACCCTTGGTGACCCCCCCCCCCCATATTCCCTTTAAATTTCTATGCTCCAAATTCTTGACATGATATTCATACCACTTATTGCTCTCAGATAAATATCTGCTGCCTCTAGCTTTCTTTTGGCTGCTGCATTCAAAACCCATGCCTCACATTCGTATAAAAGGGTTGCTAACACTATTCTCTGGTACATTTCCATTGTTGCCTACATAGGCAAACTTCCTTCCAGAGATACCTCAACATACCACTTTTACTCTTTTCCCCTTTCCCTCCCTTTCCTCATAATTTGTATGGTTCACTTCATATTTCATACACCACATAATTTTCTACATTTCTCCAATAATTCCTTCATGGTCTTGTAAAACCTTCACTGCAGTTCCACCATTTTCCTAATCATTGATGGCTTTATGCCTGCCAATCTTGCTACTTCTCATGACTATTCCATAAATGCTCGTATCGTGAAACTTATTGCACATGTAATAAGCATTGTCAGTGTGTAACAGGTTTTTGAATACCGACCAGTTGAAAATGTGGGAATCTATTGAAAAGTTTCACCACACAGAGGCTTCATCAGTCCAATACATAGCAGAAAGATGTAAGGAGAGGAGGAGTTTGAGGTAATCAGTCCCACAGCCTGGAATCAATGTGTTCAGTCCATCAATCTTTTAGATTGATGGATTGAATATACATCAAACCTCAAACTACTCCTCTCCTTATACCTTTCTGCTTTGTATTGGACTGATGAAGCCTCTGTGGTGAAACTTTTCAATAGATTCCCACATTTTCAACTGGTCGGTATTCAAAAACCTGTTACACACTGACAATGCTTATTACATGTGCAATAAGTTTCACGATACGAGCATTTATGGAATAGTCATGAGAAGTAGCAAGATTGGCAGGCACAAAGCCATCAATGATTAGGAAAATGGTGGAACTGCAGTGAAGGTTTTACAAGACCATGAAGGAATTATTGGAGAAATGTAGAAAATTATGTGGTGTATGAAATATGAAGTGAACCATACAAATTATGAGGAAAGGGAAGGAAAGGGGAAAAGAGTAAAAGTGGTATGTTGAGGTATTTCTGGAAGTAAGTTTGCCAATGTAGGCAACAATGGAAATGTACCAGAGAATAGTGTTAGCAACCCTTTTATACGAATGTGAGGCATGGGTTTTGAATGCAGCAGCCAAAAGAAAGCTAGAGGCAGCAGATATTTATCTGAGAGCAATAAGTGGTATGAATATCATGCCAAGAATTTGGAGCATAGAAATTTAAAGGGAATATGGGGGGGGGGGTCACCAAGGGTATAATTCAGAGGGCTAAGGAGGAGCTGTTAAAGTGGTTTCGGGCATGTTGGGTGAAGATTGAGGGAGACAGGTGGATGAAAAGGGTGACAAGAAATCTGTGGTGGAAGGGAGACGGGAAAGGGTCATCCCAAGAATGGTTAAATGAAAATACAAGAGGCCGAGTTAGAGAGATTCAAGCAATCAGCGTGTGCACGTTGGATAGGAGTGCATGTAGTCAAGTGGTTTCTAATAGACAATGAGTGCGAGTAGGGTAACTTTTATGAAAGGTATTCTGGGAAGCCAGTTAGCCAGGTATGAGTGCTGGAGGTGGGAAGGACAGTGCCTGCAGTCTGGAGGAGTGAGGATGTTACAGTTGGAGCATAATCTGAGTGCACACTTCTGGAAAGACTAATTGTATGAATGTTTTCTTTGGGTCTCCCTGCCTTAGAGGAAGTCATCTAGTTTAAATAAAAACTAATTAGAAAGGATGCTGCCTCACAAAGTTAATAGCTTTCATATCATGACATTTTTTCATTATCTAACAAGCATTTATATTTCACATATTTGTCTCCAACTACCTCCCCACTACACGATTTGAAGAGACTGCTTAAATACCAAACCTTCCCATTCATGAATGCCTAAATGTGCTTTATACTTTTCATTTTTTTTTGTTTTGTATTAAGGTAAATACAGGCTACACTTCCTCTTTTGATTGTATGCAAACTCACTTGCACATTGATTTGTTAGTATACTTGGAGGCAAAGAGGAGAATGTATGAGAGTATAGTTTTACCAACGCTCTTATATGGGTGTGAAGCATGGGTGATGAATGTTGCAGCGAGGAGAAGGCTGGAGGCAGTGGAGATGTCATGTCTGAGGGCAATGTGTGGTGTGAATATAATGCAAAGAATTCGTAGTTTGGAAGTTAGGAGGAGGTGCGGGATTACCAAAACTGTTGTCCAGAGGGCTGAGGAAGGGTTGCTGAGGTGGTTCGGACATGTAGAGAGAATGGAGCGAAACAGAATGACCAAGATTGTATCAGTCTGTAGTGGAAGGAAGGCGGGGTAGGGGTCGGCCTAGGAAAGGTTGGAGAGAGGGGGTAAAGGAGGTTTTGTGTGCAAGGGGCTTGGACTTCCAGCAGGCATGCGTGAGCGTGTTTGATAGGAGTGAATGGAGACAAATGGTTTTTAATACTTGACGTGCTGTTGGAGTGTGAGCAAAGTAACATTTATGAAGGGGTTCAGGGAAACCGGCAGGCCGGACTTGAGTCCTGGAGATGGGAAGTACAGTGTCTGCACTCTGAAGGACGGGTGTTAATGTTGCAGTTTAAAAACTGTAGTGTAAAGCACCCTTCTGGCAAGACAGCGATGGAGTGAATGATGGTGAAAGTTTTTCTTTTTCGGGCCACCCTGCCTTGGTGGGAATCGGCCAGTGTGATAAAAATAATAATAATACTTAAATAACTATTTTCAGACTATCAAATGCACTGCTAGAGGGGTTTCTGCCTCATACTTAGCACAAGGAGTATCGAGCTCCTGAATACTCCTGGAGCTGAAAGATCAACATGGGTTTAGCACTTCATGTAAATACGTATGTGGAAGAACAAAATGCTGCCTTAATAGACACTTAAAGTTAAAATCTGCAAGAACTTGTAGCAGTCCAAATGTGCATAAAAGGAACAGAGGAAGGCAAAATTACATTTACAATATGCATATCACTAATGTCTTCGCATTACATGTATGTAAAATATTTATTGTTCTATTGTAATCCATTTTGTAAGTTGCAAGTTTGTCTGAAATATTCTGCATAACCATGGGCTTTCCACATTGAGAAATGTTATCCAGTTATGCACTGTGTAGAAATAAAGCAATTATTTATTTAGATGCATCTCTTATTTTCTAAGAAAATGAATCCAAACCAGTACCTCTTATGTACTACCTGCTAATAAGAGTAACAAAATACCCAACACAAATCTAGGTAAACATACCTTGAATCTCTGGTTTCATCTTCATCCTGGCTGTCAGGAACTTCAGAATGCGACTCAATGTCCGTGAGCGATGGGTAAATGTGGCCAGGTTTCACCTTTGTAACAAATGTTTTCTTTGGAGAAGTTTGAACTTCTGAGAAGATAACATAGAATAGTTTATTTTTTTTTTTTAAGCCTCACTTACTGACTTTAAATCTGTCGATTTTATCTACTACACTTACATAATAACCTAGAAGATTTTAAGTACATTATATCCATGTACAGAATTTGTACCCTATTAGACATCAATATGCAGTTAATTTTATGAAAATATAGTAATCTGTAGTGTTAGCATTCACATGATCTTAAAGATAAAATGCTTTGCTTCTTAGATTTTGTTTCAGCCAGTCACTGTGGTATAACAAGCAATGTACTAAACAGATCAGTGCTTATTAATACACTGACACTCATCTGCATTTTTATTTTAACACAGGATAGGAAGATTGCATTTTTGTACAAAATTATTTGGCAATTCGAAAAGCAAGCAAAGTAAAAGTAAAAGAAACATGGATGAGGGATACTAACAACTGAAAACAATCGCTGTGAGGTATGAATCAGGATGAGAAATTAGTGATATTCCAAACTTTTTTTTTTAACACTGGTTGTATGTATCCCACTGGGTGACCTATAAACAAAAATCAGCTATTCTTTTCAAATTTAATAATTTATACTAGACCCTTGCACCCGGTATTCAAGTTGCCTCTTACAATGTGCAAGGCGTATGGTGGAAAAATTGTTCCACTTCCCCATGGAGAAATTCCAAACTTAGTATTTGATATATTTAATGACTAATATTAATTAATGTTTACAAGTTTTTACTTGAGAACAATGCCATAATACTGACTTGGTAGGATACTTTGTTGATGTATTACTGGAATTTAAATCCAAGTCAATTGAAAATTTTGAAGCTGGGAACCTACTCGTTCTGAAAATACTTCCTCATACATACAACCCACTCTAGGGTATGCAGTCAATGTGGAACTTACTTTAAAAAAAAAAAAAATGAAACAGAACAAGACCATTAAAAATGGGGCCCCGAGTTGAGGGGAAAACGAGCTATGGAAATGAACTGACGAACTAAGTGCTAATTCAGAGAGAAGTGAAGGACAAAACAGAGTATGATCCCATAACAAAATACATTATGAAGCATATTGTTAGACAAAGATATGCTCTTGACTAGACATGCAACTAGGAAGTTACACACCCAAATGAACCAGATAGATATCATGACAGAATTTCCTCAACAACAGTGGTAAACATATGGAATCAGCCAAACAATGGCTAAACAGTGCTCATCATTAAAGCATGCAGCACCCCTCTCAAACCATGACCACAAAATAGGTTGTCCCTTGCTCTTTAGAACATCCTTTAACCATCTAGGAAGTGATTAACACATTCTTCAGTATTTCATGGGGTATTTGATAAGACATAAATCGTGTCAGATGGTAAGCAGAGCCAAGAGCAACCACAATAAGGTGACCCAGCATCAGGAAAGAAGGGAAGGCAATGAAAATATTAAACACTGTTCTTACAATCTACACAATACCTCCTATTTTAGTAGAGTTGAGCCTATGTGAATAGGTCTGCTGCTTATGTCTAGGTGACTGTTGTAAAGTGGTAGGTAGCAGTGGCGGTGGTGAAGATGGTGGAACATCACTTAAAAATGAAGATGAGGTAGACTCCAGGAATAGTCGAGGAGGCTTTGGAGGCCCTGCTGTCTCTCCTTGGGTAATTGTATCCTCAGAGGCAGTTGACTCAGTATAAGAGTCATCACTCTCCAAATACTCCGATTCTGATTCCACTGGGAACCTTGGCCTTCCTACACAAATACATCAAAAAATATTTAAATTAATAGTTGTAAGGCATAGAAAATTTTAGAATTCCCTAACTAAATGGTCTTTAGCTTGCCATTTAATAGTAAAAACCTTTTTAACTAAAGACCAAGTGAATCAAAATGTATTTATTCAGCTTTAAAGAATAACTTAATAAAACACTGGAAAAAAAAATTGTTTTGCTAGACCATCTTACCAGTGTCTTTTGATGCAGTGTCAGGATTTAATGTGGCAATATTCTGCCTGGGCTTCTTGAATCTGTTTAACAATACATCCATCTCCTTTTGGCGCTCAGTCTGGATTTTACTGTTTATCTCATTGGCACGCCAATTATCCTTGATGTTTTCAAAAACTTTTCTTTGTGATTCAAATGAGGGCAGTTTATCTTTACCAGGTGATGGTAGCCTGGTACCTGTTATAAATTGATATATGAATTACGTTTACAGTTACAATATTGCTAAGTATACAAAGTATGACTCCTTGGGTTGTATTTTCAATTTTACGTATTTTTTTTTTTTTTTTTTTTTCAACAAGTCGGCCGTCTCCCACCGAGGCAGGGTGACCCAAAAAAAAAGAAAGAAAATCCCCAAAAAGAAAATACTTTCATCATCATTCAACACTTTCACCACACTCGCACATTATCACTGTTTTTGCAGAGGTGCTCAGAATACAACAGTCTAGAAGCATACACATATAAAGATACACAACATATCCCTCCAAACTGCCAATATCCCAAACCCCTTAATGAAACATGCACAGCAAATTCAAGGCCCTTTAAAACTGACCAGAGATGATTTTTTCCATCAAGTTTTCAGCCATTTCCCAAACATGCAGGATAACCAAAGTGTGCCACTTTCTGCCTTTTCGGATGGGCAGACATGTAGGTACGGTACCATGCTGACAACGAAAACCTCCTCCCCACCCTACTTTCAGCTATAGGCAGTATTAATGTGCTTCCAGCCTCCCAAAGATTTTCAGCTAATCTACTGTCTAGTCCCTTCTGTGCATTACACTATCATTTATTTCAGAATAACAGTTCAAGAATTTTCTTAAATGCTGCATTCTACAATTAGTAAACTGTATGCTATATTCTGCTCTCAATTTTACAACAGTTTCTATCAAGAGGCAGTTTTCAGATGAATAACAGGTCTTATCAAAATCTGGAAAACTTGTTATTTGTTAGTTTAGTAGATAGAATGACATAAGCAAGCACATAGGTTTCAGACATTACAGTATTAAGTGCATGTGTCCCTTGTTTTATGCCATTAATGCATTCCTGATCCCACTGCAAAAATTTTTGCATTAATAGGGAATGCTAAAACTGTAAATGTTATATAGTGCCTAGAGAGATGGGAGGTATTGAATTTCAATCCAAGGAAGAGGAAAGGTCTAATTCCCTCGATCAAAAGCCCATCACTGGCAACAAAAAAAAAAAAATTCCCTCGAGGGGCCCAGAGCAAACCCAGTTTAACTTGAAAAACTAACCTGACCCCAGATCCACTTTTTTTATTTTTTAAACACGCTAGGTGTCTCACACCAAGGTAGGGTGGAAAATAAATTTGTCACTGACATGTTACTGAAATCCTATTTTTGCTTCTTCAATAGGAGGGGGTCAGAACCAGACTACAAGGACACTGAGATGGCATATTTTTTTTTTTTTTTTTTTTATTAACACACTGGCCGATTCCCACCAAGGCAGGGTGGCCCGAAAAAGAAAAACTTTCACCATCATTCACTCCATCACTGTCTTGCCAGAAGGGTGCTTTACACTACAGTTTTTAAACTGCAACATTACAGATAAAGAAGGAAAATGTTACACACACACACACACACACACAAAAGGAGCACCAAGAACTGAACTCTGTAAAAAAATGTAATATGGTTGTAATCCATTTTTACTGTCCCACACAAATGACATATCATTCACCCATTTCAGCTGCATAAAAGCATAGTTGCTTAACATTTATTGACAGGGTTGTAAAAGAAGTAAATGTTAGGGTTTGGGGGAGAGGGATGGGATTAAATTATGGCAAATCCAAAACAAAAATGGTAGCTAACAATTACTTTTTGCTGATGATACTGTGCTTTGCTTTCGGAAAATTCTAAAGAGAAGTTGCAAAGGTTAGTGGACAAATTTGGGAGGGTCTGTAAGGAACAAAGTTGAGAGAGAACAGATAAGAGTAAGGTGATGAGGGTATCAAACAAGTTAAATAAAGAAAAATTGGATATCACATTGGAGGGAGCGAGTATGAAAGAACTGAATGTGTTCAGGTATTTGGGAGTAGAATTGTCAGCAGATGGGTTTATGAAGGACGTGGGTTAACCACAGAACTGAGGAAGGAAAAATGGTGGGTGGTGCACTGAAGTATCTGTGGAGACAAAACATATTACCCATGGAGGCAAAGAAGGAAAGGTATGAGAGTATAGTGGTACCAACACTTATATGGGTCAGAAGCATGGGTTGTAAATGTTGCAGCAAGGAGGGGGCTGGAAGCAGTGGAGATGTCATGTCCAAGGGCAATGTGTGGAAATATTAGGCAGAGAGAACCTAGTGTGGAAATTAGATGGTGTGGAGTTACTAAAAGTATTATTCAGAGGGCTGAAGAGGGGCTAAGGTGGTTTGGTAATTTAGAGAGGATGGAGCAAAATAGGATGACTTGGAGGGGGTTTATAAATCTGTAGTGGATGGGAGGAGAGGTAGGGGTCATCCTAGGAAAGGATGGAGGGGAAGGGGGGGTAAAAGAGGTATTGTGTTCAAGGGGCTTGGACATACAGCAGGCATGTGTGAGCAAGTCAGATAGTGAATGGAGACGAAGTTTTTGGGACCTGACGAGCTGTTTGAGTGAGAGCAGGTTAATATTTTGTGAAGGGATTCAGGGAAGCCGGTTAGCTGACTTCTGGACAGGTAATGTACAATGCCTGCACTCTAAAGGAGGGGTTTGGGATATTGGTTGTTTGGAGTGACATCTAAACTGTCGTTTCTGAACGCTTCTGCCAAGACAATGATTATGTATGAATGATGGTAAGTGTTGAACGATGAAAGCTTTTGCTTTCGTTTTGGGCTTTTCTTTGGTTTTGGGTCATCCTGCCTTGGTGGGAAACAGCAGATGTGTTAAAAACAAATTAAAAAATTCTTATTTTTTTACTGCAACTTTTTTCCACCAAGGCAGGGTGACACAGAAAAGTTAACACCTTCACTGTCATTCATTCATTTTCACATTCAATATGTAAAAATGACATGTTTTCTTAAGCACAACATTTTGAAAATGTTTAATTGAAGAAACAACTTTACCACTTTGTATTTGATGCAGTTTTTGAGTAATGGCTGGGGAAGGCTCTGAAGCCAGTCTTTTGGCAGGTTTGAGCACTGGTTGAGAGTGATTTACCAAGGGTTTACTGGAGTTCTCACGGGCACCAGCAGCAGCATCACCATGAAGGGTCTAAAATAAAGTATATTAGTAACTGAGTATGTGAAGCTGTTTATGCTAATTAACAATTTACATTAATGCTTAACACTCAAATTTACTTAAATTTACCTTCAGTAACTGGAATTACAGTCACTCGTCTATTAAACTTAAAAAATATTTTAATCAGTTTAAATAATCTCCATACAAAGAAACTGCTGTAGGCCTATTATGCCATGAATGGCAGGTTCTACTGTCAAAATATTCCAACTGCCAAATTATTCTCACAGACATTTTGCATCACTCCTCATGCAAAAGACATACACCTGCCCCCTTCTCTAATTTTAATAAAACTATTTAAAACTGCAGGCTACACTTTGGTCATTATTAAGCCTTAAAGCTTAAGATTAATATAAGGGAATAATTTGCATGCTGCTGGCTTCCTTCTGTTGATACAACTACTGGTACATTCAAATGAGGTATTTTTCTTTGGTAGTCCGCAGTAAGCAATATTAAGAAATTCATACAAACGCTACTCAAGCTTGAACATAGGACTCTCCCCCCCCCCCCCCCCCATGAAATTTAATTTTTAAACAAGATGAAGTGAAATCAGAAAAACTTCATATTTTTTAACAGGTTACTTACTGACATCACAATGTCAGGAGGTAATAGAACAGACGAGTTACCAGATATTCACTCAACCACAAGAATTAAATTTGCATTATTACCTAAGCAAACAATCCTTTGATATACAGTACTATATCAACATACTAAAAAAACACTTAAAGATCACCTTTAGTGGAACAGGCTGGCCAAAAGGAGCTTTGGGAACTAGAACTGCTCCTTGTTTTCTACTGAACAGGGCAAGACGTTCCTGTACACTCATCTCTGCTGGATCTTTTGGGGAAGCTTTCCCACCTGTAAACAAAGTAATTTTTCTTTTTTTTAATTCTTTGGAGGTTGCCCACTAGTTTAATACAAACATCTGAATAAAACTAAATTTAATTTTCCACTTTATTAACACACTTACCATCGTTTTGAGGTTCAAGTTCAACTTTCTATAACAACTGAAAAAATATGCTAACCAGCATTATCAAAAGCAGCAGCCCTTTCTCTTACAGATGACATAAAAGGCTGATCAACTAGTGGCACAGCTTCTGGTATGGGAACCTCCCCTTTCACAACATCCCCCACTGGAGGAGGCCTGTGAGGGCTCAAGTCCCTCCAACTCCTACGTTCAGGGCCACCACGACTGAACCCACATTGTGTTTGAGGCAAATACCTGAAAATAATTAGCAGAATAAACAGAGCATCCACATACTACCATGACCCATAGCAGTATCATAAGTACATTCTAGTATGCACGAGTATAATTTATTTGCCCAGACAAGTCAGTGACAAGTATATATATTACCTCCTTACATATGTATCACTGCAAATAACTTATACTGGGTGCATTCCTTACAGAGCAACCAAGAGCTCAGATTGCATAAAGAATTACTCATTACACTTAACAGTGCTTTTATGATGAAAACTTGGTACAGTATACAATATCTTTTTGCTGTTGAAACATTTTGGTCCTAGGACCCTGATCACTAAATATACAGCAAACTTTCAATTAGAACTGGGGATAACATCCCTGAAAATGTGCATCTCTTTTAAATTAGTGCTACTCTGAAGAACACTTGGGAAAAGATAGGGTAAGGAAAAAATCCACAGTACACACTACCATGACTGCACAGAGACTGATCTTCCATTTTACAATATTTATGACCTATCCTCTTCCGATGTTATTTATTTCAACTACAATTTCTCAATTGTGCTTAGATAATTTCATAATACGCATAACTGTCTACCGTACTTAGGGCATGAGAAATGTAGGATCACATTGGAAAAAAAAAAAAAAAAAAAAAAAAAAAAAACTTTAGCTGAACTGTAAAAGGGTCACCTGAGAGCTGTTCTGGAGGTGGATTGGGTGATGCATATTGAAGCACTTGGGACATGACAGACAAATGATAACATACTGTGAACAAGGTCCAGGACTGAATATTTTTTTATTTTATTAACCCATCGGCCGATTCCCACCAAGGCAGGGTGGCCCGAAAAAGAAAAACTTTCATCATTCACTCCATCACTCTTACCAGAGGGGTGCATTACACTAGTTATAAAACTGCAACATTAACACCCCAGGACTGAATAATTTCCATAACATATCTTTGATTTGTCTTGCTCACAAATTGGCTGTTATTACAAAACAAATCCAGACCAAAGAGAATTGGAGTGATTTATAGTGATAGCATGTGCTGCTGGTACAATTATTTCTAACATATGACATTTGACTTCTGTATATGTATTTTCAAGTTTTAACCCCTTTCAGGGTTTCGGACGTACTAGTACGGCTTACGCACCAGGGTTTTTGACATACTAGTACGCCCAAATTCTAGCGCCCTCAAATCTAGTGAAAGCTGGTAGGCCTACACATGAAAGAAGGGTCTATGTGGTCAGTGTGCACAGTATAAAAAAAATCCTGCAGCACACAGTGCGTAATGAGAGAGAAAAAAAAAGTTTTTGGATTAAAACAGCGACTTTGGACTGTATTTTCGTATGGTATTTATTGTTGTATTCTAGTTTTCGTGGTCTCATTTTATAGAATGGAAGACATTATAGAAATTGAGATGATTTTACAATGAAAAGTACCTTGAAATTGAGCTCAAAGTAGCAGATTTTTACCGAAGTTCAAAAGTAAACAAATCATGCTAAGCGTCCAATACACGTCAACTGGCGAGTCTAATATTCTTTCACAAGTGCGCCGATATTATTTATACCATTTCTACACTAATGCAGTAGTCTGCATAACAGTAAATCTTCTATTTTTTGTGAGAATAAAAATTCAAAGTGGAAAGCAAAAGATTGTAAGAGGGGCATGGGGACGTGACTAATGAACAGAGGAAATGTTATTTTAGTGCCAGGAATGTCTTTCTTGTTTATTCTGGACCCTATTTGGAAATTGGCATCTTTTGAAATTTGTGTGAAATTGGCAAAATTGCTAAATTCTGACCACTGTATTGGACAGTTGAAATTGGTAAATGAGTGTTTTCTTGTACTCATTCGATAGAAAAAAATGGAGTTCTAGCAAAATAGTTACGATTTTTGTTGACTAGTACACTGGAATTGGCCGAAAATAGGGCTCAAAGTGGGCAAAATCGCCGATGCGTAAACATCGTCGAGACCGCTAACTTAGCGAGAGCATAATTCCACAGGTTTTCCATCAAATTTCATACTTTTGGTGCCATTATGATCGGGAAAAGATTCTCTGTCTTCATTTTTTTTTTTTTTTTTTTTTAAATTTGGGCAACCCTGAAGAACAAGTCTGGGAGAGGGCCTGGGGACCCTGAAAGGGTTAAAATTACTCACTAGTATTAGTCTTATAATTTGAGCTTTTAAAATACCAAATTCTAGTCATTTATGATGATTAATTTTTTATACAGTGCGCTGTTCATACCAACTTCTTTACAACTTAACCTGAACATCTTTTAGCAAGAGAACGACTTTGTTAATTTTTTTTTAACATGTCGGCCGTTTCCCACCGAGGGAGGGTGACCCAAAAAGAAAACAAAAGCTTTCTTCATTCAAAACTTTCACCATCACTTGTACATAATTGTACTGTCTTTGCAGAGGCGCTCAGATTTGACAGTTTAGATGTCCCTCTAAACTGCCAATATCCCAAGCCCCTCCTTTAAAGTGCAGGGATTATATTTTATATATACTGTGTACTGCATATTTAATATTCAAGTTTATTGCATTAGTCTTCATTCAACTCTAAATGCTGTGACTTTACATCAGCCTGTCTTTATCAGAACATTGCTCATCTCAAACAAATAATACCCACAGTATATTTTGCATACTAAAAAAAAAAAATTTGCTGCCACTTATAATCTTACATGTGAGGGGAACGAACGGGGCTACTGCATCTCGTTGGACTCTGAGGAGCAGTAGTACTTCCGCTCTTCTTTGGGCTTAACTCATTTATAGAGTTACTACTTTGATTAGAAGTCATCTTCTTGGGGCTGACTGATCGAACAACTGACTTCCTTGGACTCCGTGAACGATCTGCACGCTCTGGTGAGGCCTGGCGTATGTGTTGCTCCCACCGACTACGCATCTCGCCAACCTTGGATGGGCTGGTGTCTCTAGCACGGTCCTTTAAAAATTATTAGAATTTTAGATCTACAGCATTTAGCAGAAGGAATATAAATTATTCAGAATATTCCCTATATTAACCATGTAAATTAGCAAAAAATTAGTAGCTTCCTCCTAAATGCTGAGCGCTCGTCTACATAAAATAGAAATAAACGGCACGTCCTGAAACTAATGTGCGTGAATCTTCCCTCCTCCCTGGAGGTGAACTGAAAACTACAAGATGCTGTACCTGTACTATCAACAGGCCTACAGTCTGACACTTTGCAATAGTTCACAATTTTTTTTTTCATTCCAACAAGCTGACAATGTAGATAAACAGCATTTTATTCATTTATCAAGCCATCTTCAGGTACAATACCATAGCAATGAAAATAAAATTAGCTCAGGAAAAATTCAGACTCCTAAATTTCAAACAAAGCTATAAAGCACATCTGACACTCGAGAATGTATGTAGTTTTACCAAACTCCGCTTACATAAAGATACTACAAACACACGTCAATCTCCCTTCCTTTAGCAATGAAAAATTTATCTGAAGTCAATAGGGAAGAATACACTGCTCAATTTCTATAACTCTTCAGATAACTAATCAGAAATAACACAGTTTTGAGATAAATGGGGAATTATAGAACACCTAAAAAGATCTTGAAAGTTGTATCATGGTATAATGTTCACAACTCTTAGAAAGCAGTTTGAAAACAGAGCAAAAAGCTTTGCTTTCTGTGACAACCAAATGTGAACAGAAAATACACATGCAAAATATATAAAAGCATAAGGCTGGTATTATTGCTTTGTGAGTCATGCATTTGAAGCATTTAAAAGTACTAAATAATTAGTAGTTTCATTCCTGTACCTAAAAAAATTTTAGATGCTTTAGTTACTAGACTTTCAAATGCCCCAAATCTTAATAAAGCCTTCACCTAGTTACACAGCATATGCATTATCTGACATAATTAATACCTAGCAATTTATTTACGGAAACTGCTAATAATACACACAAACAGCAGAAGACCAAGTTCAAATAGATATCAAATATTTGAAAATATTATCTGGTCTAATATATATTCTTAAACAGTACATAAAAATGCAATTTCTAGTTTGTAGCCTGTAGTAATTTCCAGTATAGTCTGTTGCAATTTCTAGTATGCATACACAAATAACCCGCACACAAAAGAGAGAAGTTTACGACAACGTTTCGGTCTGACTTGGACCATTGACAAAGTCACACTAACCAGAGGTGGAGCAGGACGGCTATATATAGGCAGGAAGAGGTGGTGGTAGTAGTAGTAGTACAAAAGTTGTATATAATACCGGCAAGATGAAATTAAGACACATGCACAACACCCGGGCATCCCCATCATAGACGTTTCGCCATTCTAGTATGCAGTCTGTAGCAGTCACGCATAAGTGAATAACTCTTAACCTCTACATTATATTTAACTTGGAGCAACTGGTTCTTCCAGGCCTACTGTAGTGAGAGCCAAACCAGACATGTTAAAAGCACGTCTAGGTTAGTAAAAACTTATCTGAGTGGTTCAGTGATGGTGTGAAACTGGCTTTCAGGGTGTTTCCCATGCTTTAACATACTGTGTATGTGGATACTGTAAAATTTTATATATTGGGAAGCACTAAACCCACTGGCATCACACAGTGCCCAGTACTATTCAGTAACACTATTCTTAACTCACGCTGATACATAATTACTAGAAATACTATCATTCAAATTTACATTCGTATAAAAGTGTTAGCATTATCTTTAAGATTGAGCATACTATGTACACCACAACATACACGTGTTGAACAGTAAAGCTATGTAACATTAAATGTGGAATAAATCTCATCAGTAATGCTTCTACACTAAATTACTTCCCTCAAAATATTAAGATTATTAATATATATTAAATCAATCTAATACCTTGGCAGGTTTTAATTCAGGGCTGCGCACTCCAAGTCCACGAGTAGGACTTGAGCAAGGACTTTTAGGCAAATAGGAAACAACAACAGGCGGGGGTGGTGGCAAGCTGGCATTTGATGTAGATGGCTTCAAGCTGGCATGAGATGTCTGTGGTACAAGAGACAGATTTTTTTGTGGTGAAAGCAAGCAACTGGAAGAATTTGGTTTGTTTGCTGCTGCATTCAACTTAACTGGACTTGAGCTCCTCACAAATTCTGCAAGACTCATGCCTCCCACTTTAGAGGGACTTACAGGTAACTCATTTTTTTCCTGAGCAGGTGCTGGTTTAACTGGACCAGAATCATTGCTTTGAGGTTTCGTTTCTTTCTTGAAGTCATAGTAGAGCCTAGAGCGAGAGTCACTTGGAGTGAAGCCCTGAGCTTCCTGTGAACATAAAAGTAAAATCCAACTTGAAGTGATAAAGCATTTAATATTACCACTCAATATATTGCACAAAATGCAGCTATTACAAGTATAATATCTTTAATGCAATTGAAAATTAAAGCATACTTACCAAACCATCTTGTAAATCATTGTTAAAACTTATCTGCAAAAAGTTAGACCACCAGATAAGCATGCATTGCTTTGAACAAGTGCAGAAGCTTAAAATCAACTTTCTTAAATACCATGCAATGTTAAATAGCTAAAACTAGAAATTACATTAAGTGTTTACTTTAATATAATGCCAGATAAACTTACCAATGAATTTAGCATGCCTTTGTCCCAGACAAGCTTTTTCGTGGGTGAGGTAGGGCTCTTAGGCTGATGCAAAACTGTAGTCTCTCTTGGCATCTTCAACTTTGTGAGGTTCTTTAGGTTAGGTGTAGTATTGTAAGAAGAGGAAGAGGAAAAGGAAATAGAGGTATTCGTGCTTGGGTTAGGAATAGCGGGAGACTCACAACTGCTACCATTAAAATGTGCACCTGAGGGACCATCACCAAAATAATACTGTGGGGGAATATTTTCACCTTGTACTGAAGCTACAGCATGGCAAGGACTTAAAGAACCATTGGTCTTTACTGCTGATCGACCTTCTGCTCTTGTTGAAGATCTCTGGGAAATTATGTTTGCCCTAGTGTTAGAAGCATAATTTTCATGGGAATAGCCATGCATACTAGAAGCTAAGTTACCCTCTACCTCTACCTTAGAGTTATGACTGTTGGAAGTAGCACGAGTGTAGTCATCTTCCCAATTTTTCATCTCTTGAGCTCTCCGAGCAAGAGACTTTAAACGAGGTCTGCAGGGAGAGGTGGAACCCTCATCTTTACGAGATGGACTTGTCTTTGGCTGCAAGCTCTCACTCTGATCAAAATTCATTGTCTGCGCTGAGGGTACTTTATTTGAGCTTCTATCATTGGTTGGTTCTGAAGTTAGAGTATTCACAGATTCAGAAGGTTCTAGAATACTGGGTCTCAGTGGATTGACAGCTAGTTCAGAATCCTCTGAGGAAAAAAAAAACATAGCTTTATCTTATAATATTCACCACAAAAACAGATTAGTTTTAATCAATTCTTTATCATTAATATTACCATCTGTCATATGAAAATCAAGACCCATTTTCCTTTTGGGTGTGTAGTATACATCTGGAGATGTAATTACATGTACACACAATTAGGAATGGGGGCGATACCAAAATTGGCCAACACCGATACCTTCAAAATTTACGATGATTTGCAATAGTTAGGTAACTATATTCTAAAATGTTTAGGTTACACAGACTTCTTCACTCGAGTACAAAGGAGGCAGCAGAAGCAGTTGATAACACTATACTCGTATACTGTATTCCTTTTTGCCTCCATAGACAAACTTTTCTTTCCACAGATTCCTCAACACTACCCACCTTCTTGCATCCCCCCTTCCTCTGTTCTATGATCTACATCTTCACAGACTCATCTGCCAACACGCCCACTCCCAAATAACTAATACTTCCACCATACTCCCTCCAACAAAATATCCAATGTATCATTGCCTAGACTTTTATTTTTTTTGCCCTCGTCATTTTGTCCTTTTCTATGTTCACTTTTAATTTCCTTGATACATACCCTCCCAAATTCTTTAACCAACCTTTCTTAAACGTCATTAGTTTATTATTGCATATTATTAACTTGGCAATTATTCATAAAATTAGGACTGGTTACCATAGTTCTAAGAACCGACATCAGACAGTGTCCATCATATTTACTAACCTGAGTAGAGCGAGTTTATCTGCTTTAGTCGAGTGCGAGTAGAATCTGATACTCCAACATTCTCCTTGTTACTGAAGTCTCCTGTTGTACGAGCAATACCTGCTCGACGAGCCTGGCTTCGTGCCATCATCCTCTGAGAAAAGAATAAAAACAACTTTAAGTATGTCCTGTAATGGCTATTCTTACCTGTTAGTGAAACAGCAACAATTTGTTAATCAATTAAATCCAGTAAAATGTGGTTCAGGGCACCAGGCCTCTATACAAATTTTACACTACATTTTAGTACATTAGGTTAATAGTTTAAGAATAAGCCAAAAACTTACAACCTGGTGAATCAACAATAAACATTTTTATATAAAAAAAAAAGTTGTTGCTAATATTTACAGAGCACAGACATGCCTCAATATTCATAGGGGTTAAAAGACCTAGAAAAAAATAAGCTGCCAAAGTCCTCTAGAAAATACAGTGATAGTGATTACTAACTACCAAAGCTCACCTAATAAATACATATAAACAAGTATATATTTTCAAAGGAAAATAGACATGCTACTAGAATGTTGGGTTATTTGTGATAATCCTCATGGGAAAACTAAGAATATTTTCAAGGACCCCAATGAAATGTCATTTTTTTTTTTTTTTTTTTTTTTTTTTTTTTGGGGGGGGGGGGTTATCCCAGATAATTTACACTATATATGATAATTATATATATGTGTACCTCTGAACTTATTCCCTTGATGCAGTAATGCAAATTTGCAACACTTCATCCAATAATTCAGTCAAGTTCATTGCATATGATAAATATACATTTATGGAATGGTTGCAATAAACAGTTGCATGCACACATTAGTGGTAAAATATAGAGAATTAACCCAGGATAACCCAAGAAAATAAATTTGACATTTCTTTGGGGTAATCAGGTTTGATCAGAACTAACATTCCTTGGATCAAAAGCCCTCCAACAAGCTTGCAAGGGTGATGTAGGGCCTAGGAAATGGGAGGCAACTAGGTCTGATCCAAGGAAATAAGTCACTATCCTAGGTAATCTACACACATGCTGCTATGTATGATAATTTATGTAACTATTTGTGTACCTGTACCTCAAAAAAATTAATAATATCTTAGTATCTCAGATCAACAGCATCATTGCACCTAACAAAACCCAACTTCATTACATTCATGGGAGAGCGCTAAACCTTCATGGACTTAGCACTTCCCCATTATAGTTACACTATATAACCCCCAAAGATCCTACAACGTCTAGAGAAAAGGTAGAACTCAGGTTTAATCCGAGGAGATGGTAGGTCCAATTACTTGGATCAAGAGCCACTCACCAACATCAAAAAACCTTCGTGGATTAACAAGTATCCTAACATACCTTAACCTTACTCCACCAGCGGTTTACCTGGAGAGAGTTCCGGGGTAGATAGAGCCCTGGCATTAACTGTGACTGACCAGGGAGGTTAATAGTTACATGGTCCTAGGTTGCTGTACCTCCCAAAACAAATTTCTGCCAACATATCTCAAAATCCGAAAAAAATATATTTGTTCAGGAATACAGCTAACAACCTTGAATTTTAAAATTTAAAAAATGAGTTTCTCAAAAAAAAGCTATATTACATATAAGCCTTTGGTTGTACTTACAAGCCACGCAGCAGGTGATAAGCTTTTATATTTACATTATTATTATAATCAAGGGGAAGCGCTAAACCCGTAGGATTATACAGCGCCTGTGGGGGGGATGTGGAAGGTATTCAGGCTTAATTCAGGAAACTGGAGCACAGATCCAATTCCCTGAATCAAGAGCCCCTCACCAGCGTCAAGGAACCTTCCTTGAGGGGTTTTATATTTACAAATATTTAATTTAACGTCTTTTGAACAGAAATTCCGCTACGACAACGAGCCATTCACTGAGACTTCACCAGTTACAATATACTTTATACCTCTTGTAACTCAGCTTTACCCCCTATTACCTCTCGCACAGGGTCGTTAGGTGTATAAACTAGCTTATTATTAACTTACGACAACAAAGGGGTCAGCCATGGTGGTGGTAGAGGTGAGAGAAGCCACCAACACCTCCTGACACACACTACAACTATTTGAAACTAAGTGTGTGCGGAGGCGCAGGCGCGCCACCACATTCATAACATTATTAAAGATAAATAAGTAAGTAAGTGAGTTTATTCAGGTACAGGTACACATAAATACAGTTGCATAAATTATCATACATACCAGCATATGTGTAGATTACCTAACATAATTCCAAAAGTTAAGAAAGTGAGGCTTATTTCCGCTGGCGTTACATCTACTCTTATTCATTAATCTTATATACCATAAAGACATTCAATTTCCCCTCGTATTTTATTAAAAAAAACTTCCAATGTTATTATTAAATTCAAATTAGCGTTTTTTCATCATACAATGAGAACAAAAATCATTCATACATCTAATTTTAAATATGATTTTTGCGGGAATTTTAAATTCAAGATGCCTAATACATTTATATAACAAATTAGTTATTAAACTTCATGAAGCAATGCAAATTGGGTCTTAATGGTTGAGTATAAACCAGTTAGCAGCGCATAATTTGATGCCAGTTTGAACCTTAGATACTGTTACCCACTTGAACCTCTTATTACACACATTACGTTCACTAAGTCAAGGATCCCAATGGAAATAAGTCACTTTGTCTATTTTGGGGGTTTATCTTAGTTAATTTACATGTTACTGTGTATGATAATTGTACTTATGTCTACCTGTACCTAAATAAATTTACTTAGTAACTTAAGTCTTTTATTTATTGATAAATTAGACACATGTGCAACATCTGGGTATCTGTACCCTGTAGACCCATGCCCACCACTGGCTTTATTGGTACATAAGAACATAATGTGAAGACTGTAGAAATATGTACAAAAAAATATCTTCTGTTCATATTTCTACAAAGACACTTATGTACATTTATTAAAGGAAACGTTCCGCCACCAGTTGGACAAATATTTTGTTAGTGAGATGGATTGTGAAGGACCTGCCTAGTATGGGCCAACAGGCCTGCTGCAGTGTTCCCCTTATCTTACGTTCTTATGAATAGCTTCTTCAACCTGTTGGCTCATACTGGGCAGGTACTTCACAAATCTCACCCACTAAGAGAACATTTGCCCAACCCACTTTCAGTGCTGCCCTAACAATAAGTTCTGACGAATCTATTTACTCATGTGTAATTCCCAGTCAAATCCAACCCATCTCATTTATGTATTTATCCAACCTGAACTGTACATAAGTGGCTTTTTCCACATCTTGTCGGTATCACCAGAACATTGTTCATATTTCTAGTCTCCATATTATATCTTTGTATTGTACTGATAAACCCACTGGTTTATCAGTACAGTATTGTATACCATCTACTCATTACCCTGCCCTCAATTTGAGATTATTTTATTATTATTACTATTATTATTATTATTATTATTAGTAGTAGTAGTAGTAGTAGTAGTAGTAGTAGTATGGGGAGCGCTAAACCCGTAGGAATTATACATCGCCTATGGGTGAAGGGGTTGGAAAGCATTCAGTGTTAATTCGGGGAATTGGAGCACAGATCCAATTCCCTAGATCAAGAGCCCCTCACCAGCATCAAGGAACCTCCCTTGATGCTTGATGCCTCAATAAGGTCGGTGTTTAGCTACTGAAGGACACCAGATGACGGTATCTATGATGTCGCTATGAATGACGTCAAACACTTGTTTGTGACTGTAAATGTTTTAGAAAGTCGACATGTTGAAGAATGAGACATCTGCGCATCATTTGTGAATATTTATTGTGGAGATGTTTCGTTAGTCAGTGGTTTCTTCAGTCCATCACAGAGAAGAACAGTGACTAAAGAAGTCACTGGCTGGCGAAACGTTCCCACAATAAAGGTTGCCAAGTGTTGCGCAAGTGTCTCTTCAACTTGTTTGTCACGTTGTTGTCTGCTTAATGTGTTGACAAGTGTCCAGATGTGGTGTGGAGGTCAACAATGATGTTTCTGATGAATGGTTTGAAAAACCGACAAGTTGAAGATTGAGACACTTATGCAGCATATGGGAATCTTTATTCAGGAAACGTTTCGCCACACAGTGGCTTCATCAGTCCAATACAAAGAGTAAGGCGTAAGGAGAGGAGGAGTATGAGGTAATCAGTCCCTCAGCCTGGAGTCGATGTGTTCACTGAACACATCGACTCCAGGCTGAGGGACTGATTACCTCATACTCCTCTCCTTACGCCTTACTCTTTGTATTGGACTGATGAAGCCACTGTGTGGCGAAACGTTTCCTGAATAAAGATTCCCATATGCTGCATAGGTGTCTCAATCTTCAATGATGTTTCTGCGTCAGCCTTCGTCAGGTGTGGACGTCTCTCTCTCTCTCGCCTGTGTATCAGTGACAAATTTCCACCGTTCTCTCTGGGACGCTTGTCCTCATCTATTCTGCCCGCCGGGCACTCTACAGGAGGGGCAGCTGGCACTCTACAGGAGGGGCAGCGGGCACTCTACAGGAGGGGCACATGGCACTCTACAGGAGGGGCACCTGGCACTCTACAGGAGGGGCGCCTGGCACTCTACAGGAGGGGCACCTGGTCCTGTACATCTGCTTACTCTACCCAGCTCCATTTTTTTCCGCTCTGCGGAAAATTCTTAAACGGTCTTTGGTGGGACGCCGGTTACTGAACTCAGGTGGGAGTGTGGGCGTCCCTCTCTGCTGAGGCTGGGCAAGGGCTTCCACTGGATCTAATTGGAAACTTCAAGTTTCTGTCTCAAAGGAATTATTGTTCCTTTTCTTTCATCGCCCAGCCTTGGACAACAAATCTTTCTCGTTGTGTACGAATGGTATATAATACCGACAAGATGAGATTAAGACACATGTGCAACATCTGGGTATCTTTATTGTAGACGTTTCGCCATCCACTGGCTTTATCAATACAAATTCTAGGACATAACTTGAAGACAGTAGAACTATGTACAGAAGATGAGGTATTATATACCATTCGTACACAACTTGTCAGACACTGCAACATCATGGAATCTTAATTCTGAGGACATGTACATAACCTTCACGACTACGACAACTACTACTACAACTAACCCATCTCTTTGTTACAAAAGAATTCTTCAACACTTGTTCAACCTTTGGACGAAGACCTACTTCGACTAGTGGATGGTACCACTATGACCCCGCCTCCGCCTGCTTCACCTCACCTCACTACAGTATATAAGCCACGTCTACGGCCCTATGCTGTACATTCTACAAGATTGATGGACTGAACACATCGACTCCAGGCTGAGGGACTGATTACCTCATACTCCTCCTCTCCTTACGCCTTTCTCTTTGTATTGGACTGATGAAGCCACTGTGTGGCGAAACGTTTCCTGAATAAAGATTCCCATATGCTGCATAAGTGTCTCAATCTTCAACTTGTCGGTTTTTCAAACCATTCATCACAACAGACTAATATATCAAACTTATTTACTACTAGGTGCAAAACTCAGCAAATTATTTATAACACTTTATTTTATAGAAATAATTAAATACACTTATTGTTAGTAATACATTATAAAATTCCTTACATTAATGAATTATATACAGTGTTTGGTGAACTGTTACAGTCATGGTATTATAAACTTTTCCATCTTAGAAAATAATGGATTGCAACAGATGTTAATGTTGATCCTTGAATAAACAGAAAGGTGGACGAGGGGCTCGAACCAGGTCTAGCGATTTACTGATGAGCTACCGGGTTTCTAGGGTGATTTTTCACAGATGATACTGCTATTAGAAGCCCGGTAACTCAGCTGTGAAATGTTGGACCTGTTAATCTCGGGACTACGGTTCGTCCCCCGTCCACCTTTCTGTTTATTCATCAACAGTCGTTCATTACGACTTAAACTGAGTTCATATAAACCTTAATATATAATTATAGGACTCTCAATGTTACCACTCATCCAGGTACTGGCTATAAACAGGAAAGTCTTTTGACCCAGGGAGGTCATTATTGACACTAACTCTGAGATTCCCACCTACTCTATTTTTGCGTTTACTTACAACTTGAGTGGCTAAGACAACTAATTCAGTTTGTGTTGATGGTACCCAGACCTGAGCTCTTGCATGCTTGTTAAAATGTCTCACAGTTGTTTTTGTTATGAGTTACGTTAAGCAGTGATCCTGAATCATAATGGTTCCATCAAGGAATATTTTATCCAGGCCTCCAGGAAGTTTATTAATAAGAACATAAGAACATAAGAACGAAGGAACACTGCAGAAGGCCTACTGGCCCATGCGAGGCAGGTCCAAGTCTCCTACCGGCTTAAGCCAATGCACCCAACCTAGTCAGGTCAGGTCACATTGACTTAAGGGAGGAACACGGCAACCGACCTGGTAGCACAAGCTATCAGGTCTAACTCACACCCACCCACATCTACTCATGTATTTATCCAACCTATTTTTAAAGCTACACAACGTTCTGGCCTCTATAACGGTACTTGGGAGTTTGTTCCACTCATCCACAACTCTATTACCAAACCAGAACTTTCCTATATCCTTCCTGAATCTGAATTTTTCCAACTTAAAACCATTGCTGCGAGTCCTGTCTAGTCTAGATATTTCAGCACACTATTTACATCCCCTTTATTTATTCCTGTCTTCCATTTATACACCTCAATCATATCCCCCCTAATTCTACGTCTTTCTAGAGAGTGCAGATTCAGGGCCCTTAGTCTATCCTCATAGGGAAGGTTTCTGATACATGGATCAACTTTGTCATCCTCCTTTGTACATTTTCCAGAGAATTTATATCCATTCTGTAATACGGTGACCAAAACTGTGCAGCATAATCTAAATGAGGCCTAACCAAGGATGTATAGAGTTGAAGAACAACCTGAGGACTCCTATTATTTATGCTTCTTGATATGAAGCCAAGGATTCTATTAGCTTTATTGCGAACACTTATGCACTGTTGTCTTGGTTTCAGATTACTGCTAACCAGAACTCCTAAATCTTTTTCGCAATCCGTAATATTAAGATCTACATTATTTAGTTTATATGTGGCATGGTTATTGTCCTGTCCAACATTTAGAACTTTGCATTTGTC